TATAGGATACATTATTTAACAGCAGGTGCTTAGAGGGTAGCTGGCAGCTGGTCTAGGAGAGTAGCTCCGACAATTGGACACACAAAGAAGTTCTCTTTCTCAGCTTCTACAGCGTGGTTTGTTCCAAACATACTGTTGTTAGCTACCTGTCTTTCAGAGTGAACAAAGCATGCCGTATGAGGAATTATGATGCATGGGTAACACACTGTCTTTACGATACTGATCATGTTTTGTGCAATGATTTTTTGATCATCAGATAGGTTGTTCAAAATTGGTTGATAGAGTGACTTATTAGTTATTGATTTTTTGATGAACTGAAAAAAAAGTGGTTGATTTACTGATTTATTTATTGAATATTTGATGAACTGATAAAAGTGGTTGGTAGACTTATTGATCTATTAGTTGATTTTTTTTTGATGAACTGATAAAAGTGATTTATATACTAATTGAATGATTAATTGATTAATGTATGAACTGATAAAAGTGGCTGGAAGACTGACTGATTTATTTATTGATTTTTTAATGAACTGATAAACAGTGGTTGGTAGACCTACTCATTTATTTATTGATTATTAGATTAATTGATAAAAATCGTTGATAGACTAACTGATTTATTTATTGTGATTGTTTGATGAACTGATAAAAGTGGTTGATAGACTAACTGATTGTTTACTGATTATTTCGTGTACTGATAAAAGTGGTTGGTACACTTACTAACTTATTTTTTGAATATTTATTGAGCTAATAAATGTGGTTGATAGACTGGTTGATTCATTTATTGATTATGTGATGAACTGATAAAAGTGGTTGATAGACTGATTGATTCATTTATTGATTATTTGATGAACTGATAAAAGTGTTTGATAGACTGATTTATTTTTGGAATATTTGTTGAGCTAATAAAAGTGGTTGATAGACTGATTGATTCATTTTTTGATTACTTGATGAACTGATAAAAGTGGTTGATAGACTGATTAATTCATTTATTAATTATTTGATGAACTGATAAAAGTGGTTGGTAGACTTACCGATTTATTTACTAAATATTTGATGAACTGATTGTTGTTGTTGTTGTTGTTGTTGTTGTTATCGATCCAGCGGCGAATGAGCTTTCGCTTTTTGGCCCAATGCCATGTAGTAAAGTTTGCATGTTTTCACAAGCTGTTTTTTCCCTCCGTACAAGGTATTCCACTTGTCTGTAGCATTCTTCTTGATGAATTGATAAATGTGATTGAGAGACTGACTGATTTGTTTATTGATTTTTTTATGAACTGATAAAAGTGGTTAAAAGACTGACTGAGACGGAGCTAAAATGGACTTTGTCCTTAATGCTGGGGTGTCGAATATTTATCCAGATGTAGGTAGTGGGACCTCAACACATGTGACGTGTCGAAGCTCCACATGACAGTTGATACACACACACAAACACATACACACACAAAAAAACACCCACACACACAATTGACCACTCCAGTCACATCTTACCAATTATTAAGGACTGGAGGTTGAAATAAGGAGAAAACTGTAGTACATCATGACAGTGGGAAGGTTGGAGAGGAGGAGAGGCAGAGGGAGACCGAGAGAACAGATGCTGGACAGTTTGACATCATGTCATGGGAGATCGACTGCGTCAGTTTATTGAAAGTACACGAGACAGAAAGTTGTGGATAGACATGGCTATAGACTTTAAAAAAGAAGAAGAAGAAGAAGAATGCTGGATTAAAACTCAACACCATCACAAACGGGACAGTCACATAAGCGCTCTGTCTTCACCTTCAGCAGCAACTGCAGAGTTATTAGGCCGATGATACCAGGAAGGATCTGATTGTATATCCGTCTCGCCTTTCCATTTGTGTTGATCGTTGACCACAGCTCCAGGTCTCCTCTCGCAGCTCCATTCTCCTCAGACCGTGATAATCTATTTGTAAATCCGCACTGTTCACTCGCTCCAAAGAACCCGTACAGCATCTAGCTCGTCATGAAACAACTCATCTCAAAGTGATGCAGAGCTATCCAAACTATCTGTCTGTTCGTTTTCCTAAAGAAGGACTATTCAATAATAATGAGATCCAGAGTAGAGGATTTTTCAGGTCGACCCAGCCTTGAGTGGGGACCAGTCCCGGGTTGTAAAGGCGGCCGGCCTGATGCTGACCACTTCACCCATCCTGTGGCGTTAGTCTATAAAATGTAGGTCTAGTGATCAATACCCAATACGCCCGAAAGGCGTCGAAAACAGTGTCATTCACTTATAATAGAGGTTTGTATGTGGCCTTAAGATCTTCTCTTCGAATCCGCGGATTTCCGCGTCTGTGTTACGAGATCCTACTATGCAGAAAAACAAGGAATAGACCCACTACCTCCTCAACAAGCATGCCGTAGAAGTGGACTAACTGAGGACATCCTTCGAAGGCGGGGTGCATCTACATGAGTGGCAATGAAACAACAGTCTGCATACATGTAAGTCAGATATGTGAAACGGGTGTGTATGCAAAACTTAGTTTCGGGAACATGACTAAATTCCTAGCGGGATAAACAACCACAATTTTCCGCCTGAGTTTCAGCAACGAAAGCCAAGAAGAAGAATTTGAGCATTATTGAACCTGACGGAGGGCTCGATGGATGGCCAGGTTAATCTCCATACTCCCCAGAAGTAAGCATGCCTAAAGGACAAGTGGTCAGATAGTGTTCTTGTGTTTATCAACACAGCCAGTGATCCAACAAATGTTTATTCAGCAATATAATGTCGATGCAAGCAGAACGAATATATTTTTTTTTTTTTAACAAAAGCACGAAAACTACATTATATTATTGCTGGCTATTCATATATGACGATAAGTTCCTTAACACAATGATGATTCATAACTTCAATTCAAGTTGCTATGATTTTTAAGTTATTCATTACGAGCAGGTTATTAACTCTTCTCGACTGTTTCTTAAGTCCCTCTTAACGTCCTGTAGAAATATCTCTTCTAGCAAAGCTTAACAAGTGTACTCCCGACCATCTAGTCAACTCTCTATTCACAAACGCAAGTTCTTGTCGACCACCCATCTTCACGGTCCTCGCGTCACTCCTCCAGAGCTGACTCTCCTTCCTGCCTTTTCTCCTTTTCCAGCTCTCTTTTATCCTTTTTTCTTTTTCCCTGACCAATTTGTCATTTATGTCACCTGTCATCTGTCGATTCTCTTCTACCTTCTAATCTCTCGTCAGTTTTCATGCTTGGCGGCCTGAACTGTCTGCCTTAAGTACCCTTGGCATGTGTTATCCACATGATTTATGGTTACAACTGCCCTTCTGAAAGCGTGTCTATCTCTCACGTTGGCTGCTTGTCTAAAAAAGTAATAAAAAGTAAAGATCCCTTTACACGCCCTTAGGCGCATCTGGCATATGGGAAGAGCACCCATATTTTTACAGACCAATCGGAACTCGGTAGGTAATGTGGTCAGCATTACGCCGGCCGTCTTTACTTTCCCAGGACAGCCTGTCCTGGTACCCATTTGAGGCTGGGTCGACCTGCGACGTCCCATACCACGATAAAAATCCACGCAGCCCACTCAGGTTTCGATCGCGGTACGTTGGATTACGAGTCAGACTCGCAACGGGCTGCTTATCTAGCTGAAAGATTTATACACCTGCTCCTAGAACTCTTGTTGTCAAGTTTCAAGCTTGACAATCAGAATCTCCCTGCATATCTCAGCGTGGTCTGACATCTCCTATCTCTTCCGTGTCAGAGATTCCTTAGTTTATTAGCCGTTACGGTACCTGTTAAGCTCAGACCGCTCCCTAAAGTTACAAAATGCAATCGGCATAATATTTTGCCACATCACCTCTTTTGCAAGAGCAATTGAAAAGTCACAGCAAAAAATATTTTTGTCTGTGATTCTTTCATCAATAGAAATATTACAACGCAAAGTAACAAGCCTTTACATTGCCCCAAAAAATTATTTATCACCTTTTGTTCTGCAGCAATTGTTGCAGTTTTTATAGCTCTTTCACTGCAATAATAAACATTTCAGTAATCATTACGCGAACAAGATTGCAAAATCCAGCAGACTGGTGTTTGTGCGCCGGCGATGACTTATCTGGAGGTTGAATGGGGTATTTAGGACTTACTCTTCTTGGATCACAGCAGTGATTCTTTGAGTCACTCAGTGTTGGTCTTCCAGTCTGCAATCCGCAGTGGATACAGTAGAATGAAGGATCAATTCATTCCTTACTCTACCTGTACAACCTAAATTACGTATTTTGAGTGTCTGCAGCAAAATGACGTCGTGTGTGAGTCTTTACAACATAAATTGCGTGTTTTTACAGCAAACTGATATCGTTCATGTGTCTTTAGAACATAAATTATGTGTCTTTACAGCAAAATGATATCTTTTATTGTCTTTACAACAGAAATTACGTGTCTTTACAGCAAAATAACATCTTTCATGTGTCTTTACAACATAAATTACGTATCTTTACTGTAAAATGACATCGTTCATGTGTCTTTATAACAAACATTACATCTGACGGCTATCTTTAAAAAAAATCTTAAATTTTTCAGGTGTGTTTACAACAAAATTGACATCTTATATTTTTTTTTTTTGTCTGTGAATAAAATCTAAATCTCTTGGATTTTATTTTTTAAACAAAAATTACATCACTCAGATGTCTTCACATCAAAAATTACGTCTTCCAGATGTTTTCGCAAAGTAAATTATAGCTTTTAGGTGTCTCAACAAAATAACACATCTTTCATGTACTTCTACAGCACAAATTCTGTCTTTTATGCGTCTTCGCTGCAGGAGTTACCCATCTCTGTTGTTTTTACAGTAACACTTAAATATCTGTGTGTGTGTGTGTGTGTGTCTGTGTGTGTGTGTGTCTGTGTGTGTGGGTCTGTGTGTGTGTCTGTGTGTGTGTGTTTCAGTTCAAGTTACATCTCTTCTGTGTAATAAATATTTCCCTTTGTTGAAATTGCAACAGCAGTTGAATCTTAACGTTCACTTTACGACAAAAATTACACATATCTGTTGTCTTGACAACGTCTCTTGATTTCTTTAAATATTTTCACAAGCGAAGCAGAAAAGTCTTTGTTCATGTAGGAGTAGATGAGAAAATTGATGACTGAATGGATAGGTACCAGGGTGAAGAAGCCGGTAAAAAAGTTATCTGAGATATCGTACGTCAAACCAAAAATAGTGGCGACGTACGGAGGAAATGTACAAATGAACAAGATACCAAACATTAGCAAGAAAAACTTCACACTTCTTAAAGCCGCCTTTATATTTTCTGTACCTGAGGTATCAGTTTGCGAAACGTCAGAGTTAAATCTGCGAGAGATGGTTGATCGCTTGTGTCTGAAAGCTACGTGAGCGATTTTAAGGTAACAGATAAAAACTAAAGTGATACTTGAAAAGTACGAAGATATTTGAATAATTAAATATGCAAATGGTTGGTGTATTAGAATACACCGTCTGTGATACTTATCATCGTAGAAGACTATGGGAGGGATGATGATAAATATGAGACAACTTAACCACAAGCAAAGCACGACTAGATAGGCACGCATCTTAGTCATTGCCTTCATGTAGTAAAACGGATAGGTAATTTGAATGTATCGATCTACTGCTATAACTCCGAGATGTACCACAGACATGTTTGTAGTTCCTGACGATAACCCAGAAATCAAACATAAAAGCATCTTTGAATTCACGAACAACGGTAAATGAAATGGCAAAAGAAACACATTATTGCCAATAAATGCTATTGCTAACAATAAATCATTCACAGCCAAAGATACAACATAAACATTCGTGTTTCCGTGCACATTTTTGGTCAAACATGTCACGGAAATCACAACTAAACATTCACAGATTGTCAGAAAACTGATGATTACCGAAATATACACAATGTACGATCCAAAATTGGATAATAAAACGCAGGAGTCTGTTTCATTGTTCACCGTACTTGATGAGAAATTCATTATCAACTCTGAAAGTGTTATGTTTATGAAGAGGGCGAGCAATATATATATAGCTATGTTCCTCTTGTTGTTATCGACACCATTCTGTCTCTAAAGACAATAGTGTTATATTGTGCTGCAGAGACACATGCCAGTCACAGCCCATGGCGATGGCGAGTGTGACTGACAGGATCCGCTTGAAACGTCTTCTTCAATAAGAAGATGAAATTTGAGGACCTTTCTTGTCAATTGCTGTCTATGGCGATACCACATTGGAAATACTGGTTCTCGTCCTCTCACCGAATTCAAGCAACTATGAACGTGGTTAGATGGATCCCCATTTTGAAACACAACGTGTTGTAGATATAAGTTGTTATGAAGACTGGCTGGTTGAAACAGGAGATGCAGGTTCGAACACTCGAAAAAGTTATAGTTGTCAGTTGAACTATGCGTAGGCTGTAACTGGAGTTGTGTTTTAGAAGTCTGGGCACACGTGTCACGTCTTCTCCTATTATTTCCTTCGTTTTGGCACACACTCGTGTTGTGAATCTGAATGGATTTTAACAAAGCGCTGAAGAGAATGGTACAGCGTGGAGTGATACAGGACTAATAAACAACACTTTGGGAAAAGGCTACACGGAAACACAAACCACACTGCTTCAGGCACCATCGCACATGGATTCTTTTCGCTGGCTGTTGAAGATGGAGACGTAACGCCGAGTTTCCATGTTAAGAAGAGTTCCAAGTCCAATGCTACCGGTAACAGTCCCACTGTATGTCCGTCTCGTCTTTCCCCTCTGAGTGTTGAGCGTCATCCAGGTGCCCTGATCGTTCTTACGTGCAGGATTCTCTTCAGCTTGTGCTACGTGTCATCCATCAATTCACCACAATGCTGAATACAACACGGCCGTGCAAACACAAGTATTGATTACACCCATTAGCTCAGCTGGATTTACCAACAAAAGCCAGGCAATCTTTATTTACTATCAACTTGTCATCAGCCACAACTCGGAAAGTTATCTAAATAATTACTGTCAACGTCCCTATCCTCAGGTTATTCTCAGAAGTGCCCCGTCATCAGCTTCAGCAGCAAGTACATAATTATAGTTTTGATGGTACTGGTAACAGGTTCAAGTTTAGGTTTAAACAACAGATCAATATCATGGCACAAGGGTAGTAACTCATAAGTGCTCCGTTTTACTTCTAATTCAAGTCTGAATCTGAAGAATCTCAGCGCAGGGCGCGAAATCCGTAACATCGGTGAGGATCCTGAAATATTTTGCATAGATTATTAACTCCAAATTTTGCCCGGGCAGCGCCGTTAGGCTACTATTTTCTTTATCCAACAACTAAAAGTTGTTTTTTTTTTTTATGCGTTCGCAAAAATACACACGGGTGTCCTGTCTTACCACACACAGAGCAGGTGGAATTACTAGGTGCACGTGTAAAAATTCTAGCCTTGACCAGGACCTGAACTCGATACCTTCAACACTCGAGGCGGACGCCATGCATCGAGACCACGTAGCCCCCACGTACTGGTAACAGTCTGATTGTATGCCCGTCGGCCAGATCGCCTGTTCCCTCTTCACCGCATCGTTCATTTCCGACAGTAAAGATCTCTGTTAGCGCCTCTGTACTGTTTACTATTGAGCTTTTGGGCTCTACTCCACATGATGCTGGATATTTTTTTAACGTAGCCTTGATCCCCAGGTCAACACAACCTCACATCGGTATTAGGTATAAAGTCCTAAAAGGTAAAGGCAGCCGGCGCCTTGTTGACCACACCACCCACACAGTTTTAGTCCACAAAAATATGTCTATCCTCATAAGCCCAGGAATCACGCCTAGAGCCTTTTCTTCCCAGGACTTTACCTGGTGCCCTTTTAAGACTGAATCGAGCTGCGAGCCTAGGTCTTTTTTTTTTTTTTTTTTAATTTATGTAACGACCAGAGCAAGTCATTATCCTACGCCTTAGAACAGGACACAATCGACTTCGCAGCCACACGTACACACAATTTAAAATTGCTGAATCAGTCATGTGCACATGTGGATTGGCACCTGAGACAACACATCACGTCTCCCATGACTGTCCTAAATACAACTTATCAAGGCAAAACTTTTGACCAAGAGAAACATCGCTGCAAGTAAAGCTTTACGGGTCGCAGAGTGAATTACACGATAGTGAAGTTTATACTAGAGACAAAATTGCTGATATAGATAATCAATATCAAGCGAACGAAAGAAGAAAAAGAAGATTTTGTTAGTATTTAAACTTACCACCTTTTGATCCAAACGCGAGCGTCTAACCGTTACACCACTACGGCTTCTGGTTATAAACTACTGCCCTTTTGTCTGTCGTACTTGGATTTTGGTCTTTTTCAGGAATTTGAATTTCGCGTGCACATTCGTTTTACAGATCTTTATTATATGAATGTATTGCGACTTCGAAAGAAACACCCATGATTAGTAGGCTTTTGGGATCATTTTTAGGGGGTCAATTCTTGTCGCCCCACAATAGGGTCCTGGAACCCACACAGGGGAGTCCCTGTAATGGCTGTGTCCGCTAGATCATCAGGATCTACCAACAGAAGTAAGGGATCTCTTTGGCCCAGCTGAGAAACTGTGGTCCGTGACGCTGCTAGATCTGCAGCAGCGATTCAGAAAAGACAAGCCAGGAGAGACGCTAAAGCAAATCGCCATAGAAATGCGGCTAAGGGGCTGCGTGGTCTCGAGGCCTGGTGTCCGCCTCGAGTGCTAGAGGTTCCGAGTTTAATCCCCGGTAAGGGGTGGGATTTATTCATGTGGACTTGGACTTCTAGTAAATGTCCTGCTCTCTGGGTAGTGAGATCGGACGCCCGTGTGCATTCTGAGCACCTAACAATCTCTTGACAGTTGGAAATCGAAAAGGGTAGCCTAACGGCGCTGCCCGGACAAAAAATGTTGAGTTAAAAATCTACCCAAAGTATTTCAGAATTCTCGCCGGTGCTACAGAGCCTGTGCACTCTGCTGAGCTTCTTCGGACCCTGACTTGAGTTAGAAGAAAGAACGGAGCTCTTATGGGGTACTATCAGTGTGCCATGATGTTGATCATTTGTTCAAACCTTAAACCTCAGAGATGCGGCCTCAAATTCCTGTCCACACTGCTCAAGAACTTTCAGTTGGTCTTTTCAACCATCTACGTTCTTACAAAACCTAACTCAATTACAAGTGGATTACAGGACTGGTCGTCATCACCTGTGATGGACGAATAACAACTACAACCATTAGGTTCATACAACAGCTACACAACACAAGGTCATCTCAACTGTCACTATCATACACTAGTTACACAACACAAGGTCATCTCAACAGTTACTATCATACACTAGTTACACAACACGTAGTCATCTCAACTGTCACTATCATACACTAGTTACACAACACGTAGTCATCTCAACAGTTACTATCATACACTAGTTACACAACACGAAGTCATCTCAACAGTTACTATCATACACTAGCTACACAACACAAGGTGATCTCAACTGTTACTTTCATACACTTGCTACACAACACAAGGTCATCTCAACTGTTACTATCATACACTAGCTACACAACATGAAGTCATTTCAACAGTTACTGTCACACACCAGCTACACAACAAGAATTCATCTCAACAGTTACTATCATACACTAGCTACACAACACGAAGTCATCTCAACTGTTATTGTCATACACTGGCTACACAACACGAAGTCCTCTCAACAGTTACTATCATACACTAGCTACACAACACATAGTCATCTCAACATATACTAGTATACACTAGCTACACAACACGAAGTCATCACAACAGTTACTATCATACACTAGCTACACAACATGATGTCATCTCAACAGTTACTATCATACACTTGCTACACAACACGAAGTCATCTCAACAGTTACTATCATACACTAGCTACACTACACGAAATCGTCTCAACAGCTACTGTCATTCACCGGCTACACAACACGAAGTCATCTCAACAGTTACTATCATATACTAGCTGCACAACATGATGTCATCTAAACAGTTACTAACATACACTAGCTACACAACACAAATTCATCTTAACAGTTACTATCATACACCAGCTACACCAAACGAGAGTCATTTCAACAGTAAGTATCATACACTAGCTATACAACACGAAGTCATCTCAACAGTTAGTATTTAACACCAGCTACAGAACGAGAAGTCATCTCAACAGTTACTCTCATTCACTATCTCCACAACACGAAGTCATTTTAACAGTGATTATCAAACACCAGCTACACATCTCGTTTCGCTTCCCATGAGATCTCAAGAACCAAGATCTCCAGATTGTCTAAGCAAAGTGAGGTGGGCGTTCCTAAGTAGCCAAACCTTGTTAAAATGCTTAATAGTAACAATGATTTTGAAAATGGTATATAATCGGCAGTCCAAATTAGTATCTATGTGATCCAGTGTAAAGAGGGCGATAATTCGTTAAATTACTAAATCCAAGATAGGTGGGTTAGTTTCACGTTTGTCTCCCCTAATAGAGTAGCTTACTTTTTATTCACAAGTTTGTGGGGCTGGTCGACCTTCCTGAAGGTTACAAGTGTGTCCCGCTCTGTTGTTTGGTTTCTGTGATGTCTTGCATTTACGAGAAAGAGAATGCCGTTTGACACGAGGGAAATGCTCGCTTGATGCACCGCACACTTGCCAAGTATCCAGGTATGCTTAATAGTGTAACAGATCAAAGTCACCACTCCCGCCCAACAGCAATAAAGGACGCTGGATACATGTTGAACGTCAAAATATAATTAATGTATTTCAAAACCAAGACAATGAATCCACATGAATTTCTATACTGCCACAGTCATTCCTACTGGCAAGGCAACACACACTCCGGACGCTCTGGGCTACTTCTACTACCACCCTGTTCCGTGGTTAACAACGAGCAAACATTACCTGCTCGTGCAAACCCACTGCTCGTGAGTACGTGTCTGTCTCTATGACACCCACCCCTTGGGTA